TGAAGAAAGCGATTTGACTCATTGCCTTTACGTCACTTCCGTGCTTCAAGAAGCTAAACGTTGCGCGACGAAATTGCCACTGCCGATATATGCATTCACTGGCTTTGAATATTTTCCATTGCAACCTCATTCGTATTACATTTATGTAAATTAATTCAGATTTTGATTTCTCTTTTCACATAATTTTCCAAATTTTGATAATTCATACGATTTTGCATTTATATTCTGCCATTTGCTATCCTAATATCTCAAATTTCTGCATTTTTCGTTTAATTGTAGCAAATTTACAGCAAGATTTACTCAATTCACTAAGGAAATCTTATGATTTGGGAGTAAATGGCGCAATCATTTGGTCAACATCTACTAATATGACGGCACGATGTGATGGTATCGGAGAATATGTTGAAGGATATCTTGGTCCAGAAGTTTCTAACTTGAAGTAATTTGCTAAAATTTGTAATAAAACTGAAACGAAAGGTTAAATAAAATCATTTCCTGAGTGATTGCTTTGAAATATCTGTTTATAATAACTTTAAATTTCATTTTTTCGTTTTCAAAACCCCACGATGTATTATGTTTCAGCTCTAAACATGCAATGACCACGTCGGATTACAACTCTGTCTGTGAAATGAAAGATGGCTTTACAAACTATTGCTGTTATGAGAACATGAAACAACACCCTTCAACATCTACAACAAAATCTATGTAGTGATCAATTATCATGCAACAATTTTTACTATTCAAACATTTCGTTTGATGCTTTTTGTTTTGAATTTACTTGGTGATCTAATTTAAGATAAACTGATACCAACCAGAATGAACTGATCGACATAAATTTACTGAATCTATTAGTAATGATAATCAGAAATTAAAGATTACCTTTCAATAAAAGTTCATTTGGATAATAATCAATATAGATTCAACAATGATTGAAGGAATTATGAAGAAATACATAGTTGGTATCAGCTTATTCTAAGCATTTTAACTGATTTAAATTGAATTTTAATATAAAAGGTATTTTGATATTTATTTGCTATTCTTGAAAATAGTTCTAAATTATATGAAATTTTATAATAAACTTTGCAGATTAAAGGACGAATAAGAGAACAATTTATTCAAATTATAATCTGGCAAAGTTTGATTATATTTTATAATATTAATATGATCATATATATTTCTACTCTTGTCTTTTGTATCTTCAAGTGATATTTCTATTATTTTATTTCAGAAGTAATAAATGTCGTAAAAACAATCAATAAAGTATCTTTTCCGCATACTTGCAGTTGTTACTTAGAATAAATATCAAAATAAGACAAAACATTTATTATTATTAAAATTTCTTTTATAATGATCGATCATTATATTTTCTTTGTTTGAAAAATTTTAATTTAATACTACAAATTATTCAATCATAAAGAACGTTAATGTGGTTACTGTAGCCATTTCATTACTGCCTTTTTTCGTTATCCATTGTTATCCATGCATATTTATCACTCAAAAATTGCTTTTCTTCTGATGAATTTAAGTTAATTATACCCAAAAAGACATTTTAAATAATATCCAACAATGAAGCCCTGATGGAAATGTATTTTCAAAAGATGACGCAAGAGATCCCTCATCGAAATTATGGTAAAAAATAAATAATTTAAACAAAAAACATTTTAAATTAATTTTTATCAATAGTTAAAGATAAGGGATGATAGCAATTATTGTTATCATATAACAGATAGCTAATATAAGTAAAATCAGTAGTTTTGAAATTTATTTTCATATTCAAACTATCACAAAATGTCATATATTTTAATTTCTAAAACAAATTTTTGTTTTCAATATATTCGTCACGGAAATATTTGTTCAGGAATTGTATGAAACCGAAAGAATAAAAAGTGCCAAATTCAAGCTGAGAAAACAAAATTCATTCGTTTAAAACATTTTACCAAACTTCCCATTATTTAATGTTATAGATAATATATCCTTCCTAGATCATGGCTTCGAAGCATTCTTCTTATCATTCTCATTTTCCACTAAAAATTGTTATCATTCTATATCAAATATCATTTAATATAACTATCAAATATACAATCATTTATATTGTAGCATACGTTTATCATTTATTTGAAATACTTTATAACAATTTGCTGAAATTCGAAAAATTTTTTTCAATCAGCTTTTAATTGGGCATTATCATATAATGCATAATAAAAATTCAACCACAGAATTTTCTTCGACTATCAGATATTAGCAATTTGAACTGATCGATCGCTAATGATCGTGAACGAATAACAGAGCCTTAAAGGATCAAAATCTAAGTGACCGAATTTTTTACATATAAATTGCATTTATGTTAATTAAAAAATATATTTCTTAAACAAAGACAATGATTTGAATGATTTTTATATAATTATCCACCTACGCCATTGATAAATTGAATTTTGAAATGTTTGTGATTATTCAGAAAATGATTAATATTACCATATTAATTTATGAATATATTATTTTAACAAACTTTAGTGCTATTTGACTAAATGGATCGATCATTTTTCCAATTTTTGATGATCGCTTGGCTTACTGTAATTAACGCCGTCGAATGGAGTCAATTTGATGTTTGTTATTTTGCAAGAAATGAAATAATTAGTTAATACTGAGTTGTTTAGCTTTAGCTTTTGCTAACAATAAATACAATAAGAAAAGTTTACAAATATAAATTTTCTTTCTTTTCGCTTGCTATAAATTTGAGCCTAACATAGTTAACTTTTAATATCTTATCATATACACATTAAAGTACTGAATTGTGAATAAATAAGGTCATCTGGAATGTCCCAAGCCAAAAATGCGAAAAAAGGTGGAGCCCAAAGGAAAAACCGGAAAAATATGGTTTGCTCGTGAATGAAGGACATAAATTTCAAGGCGACATTATCGTTGTTTTCTACGAACAAAAATTCGGCTTATATCCACACTATCGTAATTTTTCTGATATTTCGTCGGCTGTCAACGGTGGTATCCCTCAGGTGAATTGATCATCAATTACGATCTTAAATTTTACACTGATAGTACAATTAATAGAGTTATCAGTTGAAATAATATCAATGAGATGTTGATTTTTATATCCGTTCTGAAATCTGCTTAAATTAACAAACGATTTTATAGACTCAAAAATTACTTGAATTGACCAATTCATCATAAGTGAAACTGTAATACATTACTCATCGAGAAGTAAAAGTAATATAGATGAAGTTATTATGAAAGGATAATTTAGCCATTTTTTGCTTTAACATCAAATCAAAATAAAGAAGCGAGATCTATGAGAATTCTTTACTAAATAACTTTTAAATAAACGAAGTAATGAAAATGTAAAATGGAAATGGAAAGAAATATAGTTGGATTAATTAATCTGTTCTGTTTATTCTTTATAGATTGAACTATTCTTTAAAGTGTTTGGACAGTGTTCAGCTGCTCATTTATATAGGTATTATCATTATATGTCGGGAAAGTTTATAGTTTCTGTCCTGCCGAATATCAAAATGCTTTCTTTTATTTTCATTTCAATTTAGATATCACCTCAGTTTTATTTTTGCTTATTTTGCCTTTTCTTCAAATTCGTTTCCATTTCACAGCGCGCCGATCTCTCAGCTCATCTGGAAAAAGTTCGAAATAATATCGAAAAAGCGATACCGAAAGTAGGTTTTAATGGTTTGGCTATAATTGACTACGAGGAATGGCGACCACTTTGGAAACATAATTGGTATACAAAACGAATTTATCAGAAGGCATCGATAGATGATGTTAAGCAAAGACAACCAGAAATAAGCGAAGAAGAAGCTGAAAAGATTGCTGAAAAAGAATTCAATAATGCATCGATGTGAGTAAATTATAAAATAATTTTCCATTTAATTGGAGAAAGAAGAAAATATTTTGATCGGTGTAAATATTCAAAACCATCGCTCTTTAATGAAAGACGACGATACTTTCGTATTGGAGAAGTACCACATTTCAGGGTATTTTTAACCAAAACAATACAAGAAGCGAAAAAACTTAGACCGAATGCACTATGGGGATATTATGGGATGCCATTTTGTAATTATTCTGCGGGAAAAAATGGTACCGTAGGATGTGGTGAATGGTTTGAGGAATATAATGATCGGTCAGTAAATATTTTTTTTCCGCTAATTATGAAGAAAGTTCTCTAAAATTTAATTAGAAATGTGAAATAATATTGACATGATATATATAAAAATGATAATTAATTTTTGCTAAAACTATTAATTTTTCTAAAACTATTCATTTCAAATAATTTATACAAAAAATTAATTTATATATTCATTTCATATAATTTGAATTGTTCCATTTATGGCTGTCACTTTTACTTTACTTATTCTTCTCAAATATATTACCTAAATTTCTACAAAAAGTAAATTAATAGAAAAAAGAACAGTATAATAGAAAATTTTTTAATTATACAGGCTGGCAGAACTTCTGTACAAGGAATTTGACGTTTTTTATCC